TTCAGGGCCTGGGGGAAAATGCCTGACAAAAGGGACGTGTTTATTATTTGTGTTAAATCAGATGTTATTACGGGCAAAGCTTTCTTAAGGAAAGCTGTGGGTAAAACATCGAGACAGCAGGAAGAAGTTTCTTTTGATGAAATTGGGAAATTTTGTCAAAATCAGTTCTAGTTGGAGACAACTTTGGTACTGGAGTTGATGTGGATGTGCTGACTGCCCCTCTGGTCTTCTGGGTTTTTTCAGTGAAGCAGTTAGCAAATTCATTGCAGGCCCCGGTAGAGTGGAGTACAGATGCTATAGTTACAGGAGGGTTTGTTAACCTGTCGACTGTGGCCAATAATGCACGAGCATTGTTGTTTTTGCTGATGATCTCAGAAAAGAAGGATTACCTTGCATTTTTCAGATGTAAGTTATATGTGTAAAGTCTCTCTTTATAGATAATATAGTAAACCTGGAGTCCAGTCTTTCGCCAGCTGCATTCAGCTTTTTGACACTCCCTTTTTTCACTTCTGACTGGTGGAGCACTTCTCCACGGAGACATTTTCTTCCCAGAAACGACTTTCAATTTAAATTGAGCAATTGAATCAATGATGTCTGAGATTTTTTAATGAAAGTTATATACCAGTTCATCTAAAGTGTTACAGGGCAAAGTGGAGGTTGAAGAGTAAATCTGGTTAAAGGTTTCAGTGGCATCGTCCTTAAAGATGCGTTTTCTTATAATGTCTCTTTGGCTAACTGAGTCATTGCAGATGATGCTTTCAAAAATAACAGAAAAGTGGTCAGATAGGGCAACATCAGTTACAGACACCTTGGAAATGTTTAGACCCTTAGTGATGATCAAGTCCAAAATATGTCCCTGTTTGTGCATTTGCTGTTTAACATGTTGAGTCAAACCAAAATTTCTAAGAGTGTCACATAGATCTATTGCACTTCTGTCTTCAGGATTGTCCATGTGAATGTTGAAGTCTCCCACAATAATTAAACAGTCATAATCAACACATATCACAGATAAAAGCTCATCAAAATCACTGAAAAAGTTTGTTTTGGACTTAGGAGGCCTGTAAATATTCAAGAACATGGTTCGGACCGGGCTCTTTACCTGGAGAGCCAAATATTCAAAAGAGTCAAATTTGCCCAGAAATACTTTTTTACACTTTAGTAAATAACCTTTTCTTTGCTGTCTGCTCTCACAAAGAAATTGTAGTTTGGAGGTGTCGACTCTATCAGAATGGGTGCTTCATTAAATTCATGTAACCATGTTTCTGTTAAAAACAGAACATCAAGATTGTGGTCAGTAATGAAGTCAATGATTAAAAAAGATTTTTCTGATAGAGATTTAATGTTCAATAAAGCCAGTTTATATGACTTAGTTGCTGATATTAACTCTGTGTGTGGTTGTACCTGTTTATGGCTTTTAAGTTTGATTGTTTATTACTGTCTCTTATCGTTTTAGCTTTGCTCTTTCTGTCACGTATAAGCACAGAGATTTTACAACTATCTCCTATTAGGGGCCCAAGTTTTTCCAGGACATGCTCATTTCCGATAGTTATCACTGGGGCCCAAACTGTATCACAGAGAATTGATTTGAAGGTCCTGATTAGGAGGAGATAGATTAGGAGGTGGTGGGGCTCTGCGGCTTTTGGAAGATGTTGGTATAGTAGCAGGGCCTCGGCCACGGGGGTGTTGAATGGAGAAGATGTCAGAGCCATTTGGGTCCTGATCTTAAGACCTCCTTTCACGTTATCAGAATCCATTAAAGCAAGAACCGGGCTCAGTGGGGAGAGGGGAGAGTTCTGTGTGGTCGGGGTCTGGGGTGAGGGGGTTTTAACGGGGGGGTCAGTCTAGGTCGGGGTTTGGGGGAGGGGTGTATAACGGGGGGTCCACTTCTCCTGTGGAATTTGGCGGGGAGAGCTTTCTGCCCGGTTGTCTCTGCTGGAGCTGTTGGTGTCAGCATTATCATTGTTGTTGATGCTCCATGTTCTCTGCTGAAGGTCAAAGCTGCTGGTGGATTATTTACTGAATAGAAGAGATTAGATGTGAGACGTCTGGCTCCCGACTTGTTCAAACAGAAACCATCTTGCTTGAAGAGCTGTGTTTTTTTTCCCAAAAAATATTTAAGTTGTCAATAAATTTCACCATTTATTAATCATCAGAAGTCTCAAAAAAATCTCATCTCCACAGAAAATCGGTGCAAAGGGTCCGCTGAAAAACACCTTGATATTGAGACCTCCAACTTTATTCAGCACGAGTGAAATCCTCCTTTAATCCTTCTGATTTTTTCTTAGCCACGTCATCTGTGGCTCCACAGTGTATGATGAGGTTTTCTAGAGTCAGACACTTTTTTGTGATTGCCAGAATATTCTGAGATATTGGACACCACATTACTGGTACCAATCGTAACCTCTGTGTTTCTCTTGTTGCAGAAGTTTTTAATCCCATTCACAGCTGTTTTGCCTACTATTAGGGTTCTCGGTCCGTGGGGCGCTCTTTCTCTGGCAAGTTAGGAGAAGACTGTTTAGAATGAAGATTATTCTCAAACCTTTTATTGTTCTCAGAAAATGGATCATTTTCCTGGTTTTCATTCTGTAGTTGGGCAAATCTGTTTTGGAGGGGAATTCCATTATTTCCAGCTGTCTCACTCCTACCAGTTGTTGTGACAGCAGCTCGCTGTCAAAGTCTCCTTTTCCCAGGGGAAATGGGGGCAATTCTGAGATCTTCCATTAAGTCGTCTACCTTGATTTCTTTGGACTTGCGCCTAAAATATGCCAGGGGTGTCTGCCGGTAGGTTTATTCTCAGTGTTCTGTTTGCCGGCTGAGTCGTTGAGCTTGCTGTCACTGTTTGGGATCACAGGCAGAGTTGAATTATCGCTGTACCCCATATTCACCTCCACATTCACTTGTAGTCGATGGATTTTCATCTCCAAAACAGCCAATTTCTGTAAAGGTTTGTCGAAGGCATTTGTGCTAATTAGCAGTGCCTCTGGACTGGCAAACTGGGGTGGTGCTCCCCCTTCATAAGAAGGGTGACTGGAGGGTGTGTTCCAACTACAGGGAGATCACACTCCTCAGCCTCCCTGGTAAGGCCTACGCCAGGGTATTGAAATGGAGAGTCCGGCCGATAGTCGAACCTCGGCTTCAGAAGGAGCAGTGTGGTTTTCGTCCCGGCCGTGGAACACTGGACCAGCTCTATACCCTCTACAAGGTACTCGAGGGTTCATGGGAGTTTGCCCAACCAGTCCACATGTGTTTTGTGGACCTGGAGAAGGCATTCGACTGTGTCCTTCGTGATGCCCTGTGGGGGGTGCTCCAGGAGTAATGAGTCGGGAGCCCTTTATTAGGGGCCATCCGGTCTCTGTAGAGCAGGAGTTTGGTCTGCCTTGCCAGCACTAAGTCGGACCTGTTCCTGTTGCATGTTGGACTCCGGCAGGGCTGCCCTTTGTCACCGGTCCTGTTCATAACTTTTATGGACAGGATTCCTAGGCGCAGCCAAGGGCCAGAGGGGGTCTGATTTGGGGACCAGTGAATTACGTCTCTTCTTTTTGCAGATGACGTGGTTCTGCTGGCCCCCTCTATCCAAGACCTACAACATCCGTGTGAAGCGACTGGGATGAAGATCAGCTCCTCCAAGCCCGAGGTCATGGTTCTCGACCGGAAAAGGATGGTTGTCCTCTTCAGGTTGGAGGGGAGTTCCTGCCTCAAGTGGAGGAGTTCAAGTATCTTGGGGTCTTGTTCACTAATGAGGGAAGAATGGAGCGGGAGATCGACAGACGGATCGGTGCGGCTGCTGCAGTAATGGGGACGCTGTGCCACTCCGTTGTGGTGAAGAGAGCGCTGAGCCGAAAAGCGAAGCTCTCGATTTACCGGTCTGTCTACATTACTACCCTCACCTATGGCCATGAACTTTGGGTCATGGCCGAAAGAACGAGATCCTGGATACAAGCGACTGAAATGAGCTTCCTCCGTAGGGTGGCCGGGCACTCCCTTAGAGATAGGGTGAGGAGCTCGGACATCCAGGAGGGGCTCAGAGTAGAGCCGCTGCTCCTCCACATCAAGAGAGCCAGTTGAGGTGGCTCGGGCATCTATACCGGATGCCTCCTGAACGACTTCCGCGGGAGGTGTTCCAGGTACGTACCACCGGGAGGAGGCCCAGGGGACAGCCCAGGACACACTGGAGGGACTATGTCTCTCGGCTAGGCTGCGAACGTCTTGGGCTCCACCCGGAGGAGCTGGAGGAGTTGTTTAGGGAGAGGGATGTCTCGGTGTCTCTGCTGAGTCTGCTGCCCCCGCGACCCGGTCCCGGATAAAACGGAAGACGATGAGTACGAGTACAAGCTCTTTCTAGGTATTCCATGCAAATAAACTTTGCTTACTAACAGTTTGAGTACTCAATTTACAGGTACAGTCTGTTTGCCATGACTTTTTGAGGTAAGAAGAGGGAATTGATAACATTGTGTAAGTAGTATTTGGAGTGATATGACATGCTTTTTTTTCATAGGGTCAGTTAAGTAATAAAAGGCAGGGAGACAGGATACACAACTTCTATTTAAATATATTTTTTTGGCACTAGTGGCCTTTATTTATTTATTTTTTGACAGTAGGCAGACAGGAAAGAGTGGTAGAGAGAGGGGGAGAGACCCGGCAAATGCCGCTGGGTCCGGGACTCGAACCCGGGACAGCCGCCTCGAGGACTGTAGCCTCTGCACATGGTCGCACGCTTAACCCCTACACTATCAGCGCCACGCCCCACAACTTCTACTTAAAAAGAAGCAAATCAGGCACAAAGCAAATAGATTTCCACTCTGGTATCAGCACTGCTGATTGCTCCCATCCTGGGATCAGTCAGTAAAGGGAATGTCAGACACAAGCCAGCCAACCATCACCAGGTCAGAGTATCTACAGAAACAGTCACTACCCAGTTCAGTAGTTACCTCAAGTTTTCCATTATTTTGAAATGTTGTTTGCTGCTAATGTGTGTTGTTTTTGATAAAATTGTGGTTGCGTTTTTATTTATTTATTTTTTTGGGGCTGCACGGTGGCGCAATTGCCTTGCAGCAAGAAGGTCCTGGGTTTGATTCCCGGCCGGCGTCTTTCTGTATGGAGTTTGCATGTTCTCCCCGTGCATGTGTGGGTTCTCACTGGGTACTCCGGCTTCCTCCCACAGTCCAAAGACATGCCTGTTAGGTTAATTGGTCACTCTAAATTGCCCTTAGGTGTATGAATGAGTGTGTGCATGGTTGTTTGTGTATGAATGAGTGTGTGCATTGTTGTTTGTATGTTGCCCTGTGATGGACTGGCAACCTGTCCAGGGTGTACCCCACCTCTCGCCCATAGACTGCTGGAGATAGGCACAAGCTTCCCCGCGACCCACTATGCAATAAGCGGTAGAAAATGACTGACTGACTCATTATATTTGTTTAATGTAGTTCTATTGAGGGAGCCTGAAGCCACAGAGGCCTCTGCCTCTGACCAGGATGATGGTGAGCCAGAAGAGCCAGTCCCAGGAGATACCCCTGACCTCTTCCCAGCTGTGTCCAGTACTAATTTTGCTCCTCTGAAAGGACACAGTGCTAATTCTACTTAACTGAAACCTGCTAATTAGCTGCCTCATCTGTATTTACATTTATTTATTTGTCATAATTTATTTTTGAATAAATCCATCCATCACTGTTCTATACCTGCTTCTTCCATACAGGTCTTTTTTCAATACATAATATGCATATACAGAATGTAAAAAAAAAGAATAGAAGGGGAAAAATAGAACATGAAAAGAAAAAAAAATGTTGATAAGTACAACATTTTTGAGTTACATATTCAAGGGCTAGAGAGAAATATAAAATTATAGTGACCCACACCTTTACCAGACAGTCTTCTACACATTGATCTAATACTGGTTGCATTAGGATAATGGGTTACACCTTATACATGTCCTTTCAATATTATTGATAAATGTACAAATCTATTATACATTCTATTTACATACAAGCAACAATATTTCTACCAATAAAAGCAGGAACAACAACATCAATAATTACAATAGCAATAGTTTTAAGTGTGATATCCATTTATAATCCTCTTTTTATACTGTTTAATGCTTGGACATTGCTTGAGCTCCACATTTGGAATATTCCAAAGCTTGTTTGATGCTGATTTAAACCTCTTAACTCATGATATCCTTCCTTTTTCTTTAACAGTTTTTCTGGTAGCTGGTTATTTTAAGCTTTGAACATAATTAGTGCTGTTTATTGTTGAACTGTATCTATGATTTTAAATACATCTGATTGTATAAGTATCTGATTGGTGTGATCTAGGTACCCAGCCATGTTAATTATCCTTAATCCTTTATTCTGAAGTATGATTAATGAATTGATTGAGGTTTTATAATTATTTCTCTAATTCTCTGAACAGTAACTGAAATATGGTAAAACTACGGAACAGTACAGAATCTGAAAAGCTTTATGATCTAATACATGTTTGACTTTTTTCAGTACAGAAATGCTTTTTGATAGTTTATTTTGAACATATTTGATGTGAGGTTTCCAGTTAAATCTGTGATCAACAATAATACCAAGAAATTTGCTTTTATGTACTACTTCACCTTATTTAGCTCCATGTTTGATCCACAGTTGAAAATAACATTTCTTTTGTTCAGATTTAAAGCAAATTTATTGCTATCAAACCATGATTTTAATTTGCTTACATGATCATTATATTTTTATTCCAGATATTTCAAGGTCAAAAAAGGAGGGTACTGTTCAACCATGTTCTACAAAGTTCCCCAGAACTATGAATGGAACACGGAAGAGGTCATTTAACAGCTCCTGGTACAAAGACAATTCTTGGCTTGAATATTCAATAATTAAAGTCTCCTCGTACTGCTTTGCCTGTAGGCATTTTTCGTTGCCTAATGCACCAGAAAGTGCCTTGGCCCCACAGTAAGGCTTCTATAACTGGAAAAGAAAGGCATTATCCAAGGAGTCAGGGTTTAATCTTCACTCCAAGTCAGAGCTCCATATAAATGCAATGTATGGATGGAGTCAATATAAAAGGGCTAATGAGGTAAACAAAACAATGCTAGATTCTATAAATGCAAACCGGCAAAAGGAAGTGGGAAAAAACGCTATTATGTCAAAACAAGAGCAAATGTACTTCTTTTGACTGCAACTCGAAATATTGCTGAAAGGGCTCTTCGACAGTCTGAGGATTCCAATAATAAAGGGAACGTCTTGTCCATTTTGGATAAAATAGAGAAGCATGATGATTTTATTGAGAAAAGGCTGACTGCATATAGCAATGCAAAATACACAAGTCATCAAATCCAAAGTGAAATTCTTCAGGTCTTAGCTGAGAGGGTGCAGGCCGAAATCATAAAAGAAGTGAAAGAGAGTGAAGTGTTCAGTGTTATTGCAGATGAAACAAAAGACTTGCAAAAGAAGGAACAAATGTTTTTGGTTGTACGGTATAATGACAATGGTGCCATCCATGAAAGCTTTCTATGCCTCCAGGCATTTGAAAGTCTTAATGCAGCAGGTTTCAGTGCAATGATCGTTAATTGTCCAGAGAAAATGGTCTGGACTACTGAAATAATCTTGTAGGTCAAGGTTATGACGGTGCATCTGTCATGAGTGGGAAGCATTCTGATGTATCTGCACGAATTCAAAGCAATGCCAGATTTGCATTTTATGTTCAATGTAATGCACATTGCTTAAATTTAGTTCTTGTTGATGCTGCAAAAGCAGTCCCTGAGGTTGTTGACTTTTTTGCACATCTGCAGCAGCTGTGTAACTTTTTGTCAGGCTCTTTTGTGCATTTTAAAGTGGCTTGTTACACAGAAAGACCTGTATCCAATGCAGCAACCAAGGGAGCTACAGGCACTCAAAGACACAAGATGGGCATGCATCCCATAATCTGAGAAACAGACTTCCAGTAGTTCTGAGACTGTTGCAGATGCTTGTACATGGTGAAAGATCAGTAGAGGCAAGGGGTCTTCGTTGTCAAATAGATCTACAATTCATAGGGCTTTTGGTTACCTTTTATAAAGTGCTTGGTGATGCCAAATGTTTTTGTGATATGCTCCAGTCCAGCACTCTTTATCTAGCTAGGGATGTGGATCTAGTAGGTACCCTTCAAAACACTTTCCAGGACTAAAGAAATGTGAAATACTTTGGTGAAGTATGGAAAGAGGTTAAGGAGCTTGCTGAGCAAAATCAGTGTACAAACAAACAAAAGACATCCTAGAATAAGCTCAAGATTTCTTGACTCACTGGTGATGAACAATATAGGGCAGAGAAATTGTGATGACGAGGGGCTTCCCCATTTCACTCTATAGTCAGGTGATTGACTGTCTAATAACTGAGTTGAAGAGGTGTTTTTTTAAAGAAAAGTCATGAGATCATGCTAGGTGTGCAGTCTCTGAACCCATAGAGTGCAGCTTTTTAAAATTAGGAGCCTCTGTTTGCCTTTGCACAGACCTTTGAGTCCAATTTAGGTGACCTCAAACATGAGGTTCCCCAAACAAAGCAGCTCCTTGATAGGAGAATGAAAAGTGGATTAGACATATACTTTGCTCGATTTTACCTTACAAAATGAACCGTACAATTAAGTTTTTAATGAGACGTTCAGGCTTTGCAAGATTGCGGCTGTTACTCCAATCAGCGCTGCTTCCTGTTAGAGAAGCTTCTCTGCTTTAAAGCTGGTTAAAACTCACCTCAGGAGGGCGTGGTGCTGATGGTGTAGGGGTTAAGCACGCGACCATATACAGAGGGTACAGTCCTCAAAGCAGCCGTCCTGGGTTCAAGTCCCGAACCTGGGGATGTTTTTGCCGAATGTCTCCCCCTGTCTCTACCCCTCTTTCCTGTCTGCCTACTGTCAAAAATAAATAAATAAATAAAGGCCACTAGTGCCAAAAAATATCTTTAAAACTCACCTCAGGACAACAATGGCTGATGACAGGTTAAGTCATCTTAGACCTCTCAGTGTTGAGTCAAGGAGGGCACGTGCCCTCAACAAGGACAACTTTGTAAAACATTTTGCCACTTCTCACCACAACCGACGGATAATTCTTTTCTAATCCAGCGTAAAGTAGTGTAGCGCTAAGATTGTGTCTGCGTTCATGACTAAGCTCTTCACTATGTTTTACTTAGACCAGTGACAGTTTGGCAGCCAGACAATACCTTTGGTCACATTTAAAAGCTGCACTATGTTCATATCAGATTGGGGTCTAATTGTTTGCTGTAAAATTTATGCCTTGTTTTTATTAAGTGTCTCATTAAGTGTGAACTGTGTGTGACTCTGAGTACGGCTTCATTTTTATTCATGTCACAATGGTGTCATTGTTCAAAAGTTGATGCCAAGCTGTGTTTAACATTTTGTTTATTTATTTTGTTACATTGTACATAGAAACAAATTCATTCTCATAGTCTGTGGACCACCTGAGATTGCTTTGGCCCCCCTCTGGCCCCCCAAATGATAAAAGTCTAGCTCTGCCCCTGCTGCAATGAGAATAAGATTTCTAAATATAACTGCTGGTGTGACCTGTGTCAATGGGATCATTTCTGGTTTCATATTGTTATAGACTTCTTGTGGTAAGAAGTGAGCAAATTTTTCCAAATCTTGATGCTTGTACTTTGCAGATCACAATGAAAAGGAGATTTAAAAGTAGAGACATTTCCAATTTCTTTGGCAAAAAAGTGAGAGATGAGGATGAAGATGAGACTGAGATTTGATCAGGAAAGAATGATA